CAAATGCAGAACCCAGTGGTTACAGCAGTCCGTATCAGGCCGTTAATCAAACAATTTCAACCTCCAATTCCTAAGGAGGACAGCTGGGGCAGAGAATTGGCCCAGTGTCGGAAGAAAAATATTCGGAAAAAATGGTACAACAACACATTGAACAGTCTCCTTCCGCCATTGCCAGAGAAGGATCTCCAGACGCTCGAGGGACTCATATCGGGAACTGTGCCATGGGAGCCTGTCAAAAGGAGAAATTCAAAGCCCCAGGTTTTCCAGACCGAGTCTGGTGGCGAGCTCTTCAGGTTGCTGGCCAGGGGACCTGAGAAAGGTACCACTTTTGCCGAATATGCCAATGGTCGACCACATACAATTACAATCAGGCTTATGCGTCGTCAATGGAGACGTCTGTCTGCTCTTGTACCCCGACAGTACTGGAATCCGATATCACAGAAGTGGCGCTTTTTGTGGGATTCACCAAAGGAAGTCCCCCGGCTGTCGTTCGATCTGGACAGTAGCATCGACCCAGAGGCTTTTTTCAAAGAGTTTTCCGGCTAGGGCGAAGCTGAAGCGCGGCGACTTTCAATAACAAAATATTAACCAATTTAATAACATACGATCTGGATGCCACTCATGGCCATAGTCATTACAATGTTCAACTGCTCTGCGAACTGAAACGAAGGGCTATCTGTCGGGCAGAAATGCAGCTAACAAGCATTCCCATATATCTCAGCAATAAAGGCATAATCGCTTGATTTAATAATTCAACTTTGTTGATGAGCTGTCATGTCATTGAGAATACAAATGCATATGATAAACGTAACGCATACAGGTTCTCCAGTCCCCAAGACGAGAAGCCAAAACGAACCGGATGCTACCGGAACGGAAAAAGCAGCAGAGAACAAGACAGGGTATACAAAATGTAAAGGATAAAACAAGTCATGGTGACCAATCAGACCCAAAAAAAAGAGACTAATTAGTCGCTGTCAGAGGACGAGCTGGAGCTAGAGCTGCTCGATGAGCTCTTCCGCTTGTGCTTCTTATCCTTCTTATGCTTCTTGTCTTTCTTCTCCTTCTTGTGCTTCTTCTCACTATACCAGAGTATCAACAGTCAGTCTCGTCTCGATCCAAAAGACAACAAACAAGATATAATGATAAGAAGGACACTCACAGCTTATTAGTCGCCATATTCATACCAACAGCACCCAAAACAGCACCGCCCGCAGTACCAAGTAGGCCGTGGCCAAGCTTATTGCCCACGAACCCGCCAGCCGCGCCGCCAAGCAGTGTCGACCCGAGGCCCCTTTCTCCCTCCGGTCCTACAGCACCGGGCTGTCCTTCCTGGTGCGGGGGTGCGCCACCGTAGTATGAGGAGCTCTCACCGCCACCACTTTGCGGGTAGTGCTGTTGCTGGGGAGGCTGACCGTATCCAGGACTGCCTTGGGCAGGATACTGGCCTTGCTGGTGCTGTGGAGGGTAGCCCTGCCCGCCTTGTTGGTCATAAGGACCTGAATGTTGGCCGTACTGGGGCTGACCATAAGCCTGCTGACCCTGTAGCGCGGAAAGTTAGTTATGTATGCTCGCGGTACGAGTACGAGTGGAGAGTGAGGGTTTGAGCGCTGTGTGACACGGTTCTGTGCAACGGTATATCGTGCGTGTAGACTCACCTCTGGTGGGTAATATCCTTGCTGTGGTTGATGGGAATAGCCCTGCTGAGGAGGGTATCCTTGGCCTTGCTGGTCATAGTAACCGGCACCACCACCGTATTGATTCTGCGAGGGTCCACCGTACGACATGTTGATATCGAGGAAATAAGAATTGGTTCTTAGGTAGATGTTTGGTCGGATGATATATAGGTATAGTTATACTTGGGAGAACTGGATAGAAAGGTGAGATCTGGGAATGACCTGACAATAAATACACGGCATTGGCGGGGCTCGCGGGGCTGAGCGTTGAGCACCGCCTCAGGAGGGTTTCAGATCGACGCAGCTTCCTTGTCATCTTAGAATGTGGCTTTGCCTTTCTTCAGCTGAATTGGATAGCCAATGAGTATGTCTTGATCTAGTATTTCATTGTGGGCCTACACAATATTTGGCATTTGACATGTCCAAGCCACTGGAAGCCAGTCAATGCCAAGACTGTCGGGCCGCAGTTGACAGGGAACCAAGGAGCATCCCTGATTTGGTAGATACTATTTATAAATCAGAGAGACTTGAGTGGCAATGATCCGGTAGTAGTATATCAAGTTCGCTATACTTTCATCATGTCCTCCAAACTCGACGACATCCATGCTGATCAAAAAGTGCACTGCCTTGATGTGTTAACTGCGTAGTGTTCGGCGATATTATCGGCTTAATATTGGAACAATAATCAAACAACTTGATCTTCAAACAGCATAGGGAGGGGCTAGGTACTTAGACCTGCCGTGTACAGTCAAGCCGATGGTACTTGGTGAGTCCGAAGATTTCGGTCAGGTCTTCTAATAGAGCAGGCTGCAGCACTATAACTTCAGCATCCATTACAGGGACATGAGTCCTTCCACTGATGCTATCCCAATCCAAAATGCGTATTGAGCTCCTGAATGTGAACTAGCTTTCTGGGTCATTCATGAGCTTGTAAGCCCAACTATGCTTATGGTGTTTTAGTAAAAAAGGTAGGCTCGAAAGCATAGTGTCAGTCTATGATATGGTCCCTCTGGGCCTTAACAAGAACGGATGTTTTTGTTATGGCCTCCTGGTAATGAGCTGTATTATTTCCTATGAATGGTCCAACCCAAGTGGCTAGCTGATTTCGCATTAAAAGTTTGAGACTAAGCTCAATATTTTATCCATAATCCAGGGCTAGTTAGATATAGAAAGATCGAGCTCACAAATCAATATTTTTCTGCCGTTCAGCTAAAAAAAACCCACGAAGGGGGAGAATATAAGTAGGAAAAAAGGACAGCCATCGAGCCAACTAAGGAAAGAGGCCGCAAACCCGGCCGACTATTTTTGTAAATATAATCCTCAATAACTATTCCACGCGTTCTCTACCTAGTATCTCTCCGAGACAAGGCTGATAGAACAACCTGCGTACGAGTGAAGAGAAAACACAATTGACAGCCAAGGCGGTGATTTTTAGCCCTAAGAACTTACTTTCCGTGCAAGCTATCCAAATTCTTCGGAGCAGCTGTTACAATCCAATCCAGCATTATCATATAGTCGGTGTTTCCTGTTTCCCAAAAGATGATGACAATGAGAATGCCTATTAAGACGGAGGCGAGAGCATTTAACGAATCTAGATGCGTCTCCCTACTTGCTCGTTTGAGAACTTCTTTCATATCGTATACTGTAAGACAGCAAATATGCTACCATGGAACCAAGTCAGGACTAAATTACTAGGCTAACGTTGAAACATTGAACCTTGGAACCTTCCAAGGTTCCTTACTCGCACAAAGAGCCTCCCCAGTCTAACACAAGAGGAAACCGCACAACGTTATCTGCGGCGAAACTTCCCCAGCCTCGGTTTATAATAAATTAAAGATCGACAACCGCCGCGACGCGGCGTATCTATCAACGGCTTGCCCATTCAGGCTTGTATTTCCGAGAAGTGGAAATTCCTACGGAATATGGGTATACGGAGTATAATTTCCGAAAGAAAAAAAACTGGGGACCTTGGCCAAGTAAAGGCGAAGGATTCAGCCCAATTTATTCACATGCAGGGTAATCCAAGCGTCCGAGTCCGAGCGCGGTGATAAAAAGCTTTCTCGCCAATAGCATGGCATTTATCGGCACTATAGGCAAGAACCGGCTGAGATCTCGGATCTTGTAGTAAGTCTAGACAGTTCGCGATGCCGAGTGTGATACTGCCATGCCCAAAGTACGCCTAGAAGGCACTCTTCTGTATCCTCCGTATCGAGTACCCCGTACCCCGTACTTGGGATGTTCGGGGAGAAGCCGACCATGTGGCCAACGCATTGTCCCCTGTAATTCTTGGCAGTCTACTATCCACCCATGGACCTGGGCAAAGTCTTACTTCAGAGAAGCCCTGCCAAGTAACCTTGGGCTGAATCATTGAAAGGACAATCTGAGAGTGTGGGAGGATGGATTACTGCACTATATCGTGAGCAGCTATGTAGTAAGTGTCTCTTCCCCAAAAAAAGAACAAAGTCCAGAATGTTCTACCTTAGTTTAGCACACAAGACCGGTGACAATACTTATAACAGCCGATTAAACCCCGAGACCGACCTACGGCCGGCCTGGCTTCAGTGGCTTGAAAGGAAGTTCAAGGAGAAAAGCTATTTTTGTGGGGGGATTTCCCCATTTTTCCCCTCCATTTTTCAACTCCACACCCCGCGTGGATAATCCGGGATATGTTCTTGGGTAAGACACTATAACATCAAAGTAAGCGTACTTTCGTACCTATGTGACTGGTAGATGTAGTCATCCGAATCAAAGCACATACCGGAAGAGATTGCAAAGTTCTCAGAAAAGTTTACGAAACAATTATAGAAAGGTCTAGATAAAAAAGACAAAGAATGCCACTAAAGAATTCACGGAAAAAGACTGTGGGCTTAGTGCCTGGCATCAAGCTGTATCCACTGGACAATATAGAAAAATCATGCCATTAAGTCATTTTGCATCGCAGACTTTTCTAGCTTCTCCCCATGGGGACTCTCGTTGTCTGGGTCATACCCCGTAATTGTACTATGATCGGCTTAGATTGCCCTCATTCGTGCGCGTCTCCGAATTCCAGGTTGCTGACCCGCGTGGCAAGCGAATAAGATAACGTATCATCCCTGTATACAGCGGGCCCGCAGACGTCGGTGGTCATTTGTTTGATTCCTTTCGGTCCTCGGGATGCCCGCTAAATTCGGTGAGCAGAGAGGAGAGGAGGGTTCCCCGCCGTATTTAGAGCGGCCCAGGACCCCCCTGGCTGACTTGTGACCTCTCTTATCCCTCTTCATTCGGACTTTGTGCCAGGATCCGGCTTTTACTCTCCGATTCATCGGTGCTCCAAGATCCTTAGCAGTCATGGATGAGGGAAAGACTCAGTATGCGGCGACATCCTCGCCAGATTTCGAGGAGGATATGAGTGTTGGCCGCTACATCGCCACTCGTATCTCCTCTCTAGTGCCTCCCATGAACCCGGCGCCGAACCCGTTCAAGGCTCTTACACTGCTCAACCGGTCTCAGTGGCTGAATTTCTCGGTATGTCCTCCTCCCCATAAGGCTAACAGGTAGGAAACGTCCTTGACTAACTAGCCTAACCCTATAGGTCGCGTTTCTTGGCTGGTCCTGGGATTCGTTTGACTTCTTCACCGTCTCGCTTACTGCCTCTGCACTGGCGAAATCATTCGATAAATCCGTCACCGATATCACATGGGGAATCACCCTGGTTCTGATGCTGCGATCTGTCGGCGCCATCACCTTCGGAATCGCCTCCGATCGATGGGGCCGCAAATGGCCGTTCATCGTCAACCAGTTGCTCTTCGTCGTCCTCGAGCTTGGTGCTGGTTTCTGTCAGACTTATAAACAGTTCCTGGCTTGTCGCGCCTTGTTTGGAATTGCCATGGGTGGCTTGTACGGTAATGCGGCTGCCACCGCGCTGGAGGATTGCCCGCCTGAAGCCCGCGGTATTATCTCGGGACTCTTGCAGCAAGGTTACGCCTTTGGATATCTGCTAGCCACGGCTTTCGCTCGAGGTCTAGTCGATACTACCCCTGAAGGCTGGCGGCCGCTGTTCTGGTTTGCCGCTGGTCCACCAGTCTTGATCATCATCTTCCGGTTATTCCTTGGTGAAACTGAGACTTTCCGTCGGCGCCAGGAAGCGCGACAGGAATTGCGTGGAGGTGTTGCGGCATCGTTCATCTCAGAAGGGAAGGTCGCACTACAGCGACACTGGTTGATACTCATATACCTGGTTCTGCTTATGTCTGGGTTTAATTTCATGGTATGTATTACTTGCTATTCGAGTAACAGAAGAAGCTAACATGGAAATTAGTCGCACGGATCTCAGGATCTTTACCCGACAATGCTGGAGAACCAGTTCAAATTCTCAAAGAACGCAGTCACCGTGACACAAGTTGTCGCCAACCTAGGCGCCTTGTCAGGTGGTGTATTATGCGGCTGGGCCAGTCAGATCTTCGGCCGCCGGTTCTCTATCATCGCCATCTCCATCATCGGCGGTGCCCTTCTCTACCCCTACACATTTGTCCAGAACAAGAATGTCATTGCTGCGGCCTACTTCGAGCAGTTCATGGTCCAGGGTGCATGGGGTGTGATCCCTATCCATCTTATGGAGCTATCACCAGGATCTATCCGCACCTTCGCTGTCGGCACCGCCTACCAGCTCGGCAACTTGGTCTCCTCCGCTAGCTCGACTATTGAATCAACCATCGGTGAACGCTTCCCGTTGCCCCCTACTGAAGAAGCCGCCCATCGCTACGAGTACGGCAAGGTCATTTGCATCTTCATGGGCTGCGTCTTTGCCTATGTTATTCTGATTACAATTGCTGGACCAGAGCGTTTGGGTCGTAACTTCGATGCTGAGCATGATGCGGACCTCCAGGAGGTTGCTGCTCACCGTGGTCTCAATCCCAAGGAGGACTTCGGGGAAGATCCTGAGAAGGCTACGACTACTATTGTGCCGTAGACTACCAGGCTACTGTGATACCTGACGCTCGCGCAATGACTGATGATTGCTTTGTATTTCTGGACCTTTCAATGACCTGGGATTTTTGTTTGGGAGAATGTGGAAGGGACATTAAAATGGGATAATCGGATAGGACAATGAATTGGCTTTCACGGATTCGCTTTGTGTTGTGTATTAACCTCGGTAGTACCCTTCGCTCTCGTGTATCCTCGTTGCTCTATGAGTAGAAGGTTAGCGGGTGTCACCCAATGGCCTTGGTAAGTACTAGTAGATGTTCCGTCGTGTCAAAGATCTGAATCTGCTTAATGTACAATGCTCATTCTGGTGCACAGGCCAGTCCTAGGGTTAAGGGGTATCTTAATTTCCTTAAGTGTAACAGTGGAGCACAAAGAAATCACGTAGTACCAGCCTATACTAGATAATAGTGATGATCCTACAAAGAGCAAATACACAGTGAGCGTGAGACTTAGGAGAGGCTCTTTATAGTACAGGAATTCTACACCCCGCACTTGTACACTATATCCAGCTGAGATTGGAATTGTTTTAAATGAGAATACAAACAAAATCAACTGAGATAAAAAGAGAGCTAATTATAAATCAATTGGATGCTAGTTTTTCTATAGCGCTGTGATGCTATACTACTCCGTGGTAATAGCCTTGCCAGAGTCTGTCACGTCATTGCTCCCAATAGTTAATACAACATAACTAGAGTCGTCTACATATCTAGGGGTCCACGGGTAGACCGGAACATCCAGCTGGTTTCAAATGTTTCAAGGTTGTACAAGGATAGTATGCGATCCCTAATATCTAACGGAGATACTATTTGTGATGGTAATAAGCACTTGGCCAGTCTTACTATTGTGGCATACGCGTCCTGCAGAAACATTATGAGGGGATACACGATTGCCTGCCGTGGTGGCTCAGCGCATCTATACATATGACCTTGAGCTTTCCTTATGTCTTGATCCGATTCTGTTTATATTAGCTATAAAATAGTATATTATTTGTAGGCCATCCTCAACATAGGCTTGCTTCATATTAACAAACTAGGGCTATGTAGTGCCAAGCCTACATTGCCAATTGCGTCGGAAAAAAAAAGAAACGAGCATCGGTGAATACCTTAAGTCAAGATCGTAAGAGATCAAAGATTAGAAGAACCTCTGCTAAAGTCCATAAACACTTTACACGTGTACCCACAAAAAAGACCACTTTCAGGGACTTGACACGGACTGTCAGGGACAGACACCTTTTCTCCGCCAAGACCCCAGACAAACCTCCAACCGCCCCGGCTTCCATTCTTGTCTTTCCCCATTCCCACCCCTTCCCCTCCCCTCGTTCCTTACTCGTTAAGGGTTCTCTTGCGAGGTTTAACCCCCTGCGCCAAGAACCTGTCTGTGTGTGCTGGATGAAGTCCCGGCTCCACCTTCTCCAATGCACAGACGCTCGTCGGGCTCCCCTGTCGAGGACGAAGATTCCTCGGTCTCCCGAACAGACGATGGAAACGCCATCGACGAGAAAACCCGATCTCAGATAGCTCAGCGCGGCACCAGCTTTGACCTTCGCCGCGAGGGCAGCGCGACACCGCGCTCCCGGAACTCGAGTATGTGGCGCACCCCGTCCTTCCAACCCTCCAACGATACCAAATCGATGCCATTGGGCTCCCCGCGACTTCCGATGGAAGTCCCCCCTTCCGGCGGCCGCCGTGCGCGACAATCTCGCCAACGCAGTCCATGGTCTTGCTCCATCCTGACGGCCTTCACCACTTGCGCTGCTGTCGCGATCTTAGTCTGCATCGTCGGCTCGTTCACCGGTCGGCAACATGGCGGAGACGGTTGCGGTGTTCCGATGATGAGCCCGACGTTCATTCGTATGTTGGAGTTTGACACGGAACATACCCGCTTTGCAAGCAAATACAATCTCTTCGTCTATCGGGAAGAAGGCGTGGATCCTTACACCCAGGATAACATCGGGGTACGGCGACCCGGACTCGGTGCATGCGCTTGGATTCTTACTGACTCTGTGTTTAGTTGAACGGTGTCCCAGTTCTGTTTCTGCCCGGGAACGCTGGAAGCTACCGCCAAGTCCGATCTCTGGCCGCCGAGGCCTCGCGACATTACTACGATGTGGTCCGACACGACGAGAGCCGCCATGCGGCCGGAACGCGGAGCTTGGACTTTTTCATGGTGGACTTCAACGAAGATATGGCGGCGTTCCATGGACAAACACTGTTGGATCAAGCGGAATACGTGAACGAGGCGATCTCATACATCCTGTCACTTTACCATGATCCGCGACGCACCCGCCGAGACCCCGGGTTACCGGATCCCAGCGCAGTAATCCTTGTTGGACACTCTATGGGGGGAATAGTGGCTCGAACTGCTTTGACCATGGCGAACTATCAAGCCAATTCGGTCAATACGATCATCACCATGTCTGCACCTCATGCGAAACCGCCTGTTTCCTTCGATTCCGATATCGTCCACACCTATAAACAAATCAACGACTATTGGCGCGACGCCTATGCGCAGACTTGGGCGAACAATAACCCACTCTGGCATGTCACTCTCATCTCCATCGCGGGTGGTGCGCGTGACACCGTGGTGCCCTCCGACTACGCCAGTATCTCCTCTCTCGTTCCTGAGACCCACGGATTTACCGTATTCACCTCTTCTATTCCGGATGTCTGGATTGGCATGGATCATCTGTCGATTACTTGGTGCGACCAGTTCCGCAAGACCATCATTAAATCCTTGTTCGAGATCGTCGATGCCCGACGCCCTACTCAAACGAAACCACGGGCAGAACGGATGCGTGTGCTCAAGCGGTGGTACTTGACGGGTCTGGAGCCAGTGGCCGAGCGTACACTGCCCCAGAAGGAGGCAAATACACTTCTGACACTTGAGGATAACGCAAACACGATTCTTGCGCAGGGCCAGCGGCTGATCCTGCGTGAACTGGGCCTACAGCATGGCCCCGATGTTCGTCTTTTACCGATTCCTCCGCAGGGCGTCTCTGGTAAAAAGTTCACCCTGCTCACGGACCAATCGCTTGATAAGAATGGCAATATTGAGGTCCTATTCTGCAGCGTGTTCCCGCTATCCAATGGCCGTTCAACCAACTTCCCCTTGAATTTAGATTTCTCTGGTGGCACTGTGGGATCAACCCGTTTGGCCTGCAAGAGCGCGGCTGAGGACAGTATTCATTTGCCTGCCTCGACCCGCTCATCTAAACATGCTTACGATCGTACCCCACCGTTTTCGTATCTCCAATACGACTTGGAGGCGCTCGCAGAACATCAGTTTGTGGCTGTCGTAGACAAAGCCAATGTACCAACTCCAGGCTTCCTTGTCGCCGAGTTTTCGGACAGCTCGGATGCAATGATTCGGGCTAAGGTTGGGTTAGGAGGGCTGCTCAGTGCTGGCCTAAAGATGCGGCTACCCGCCAACCGACCAATGCTCATGGAGGTTAAGATCCCGGCATTGTATTCGAGTCTGCTCGACTACCGGTTGAAGATCACTCGCCATCCTCAAAAGGAGGAACTGTTCGCTCCCTTGCTCCGTCAATCCGTCTCTGACCCTCATGAGTCGAAGTTTTTCGTCAACGTCAATGAGGTCAATGTGAACCTGCACGGTGTGGCGCCGTACATGCCGCCTGCAATTAGTGAGCAGGCCGCTCTCGGGGGCGTATCATTTCACCTGTGGACGGATCCAACCTCTGACTCGACGGTCGACATCTCCCTCCAAGTTGATCTCACCAGCAGTCTTGGTGAGCTAGTGATGCGGTATCGGACCATATTCGCGGCTTTCCCACTGCTCGTCGTTGCCCTCGTTCTCCGGAAGCAGTTCCAGGTCTACGATGAGTCTGGTTACTTTATTCCCTTCACCGAGGGCCTTGATCGTGCGTTGCGGTCTTCCTTCCCGCTCCTGCTGGTAGCTATGTCTCTACTGGCCACCTCTCTGGCTACGTCCAAAGCCCTGCCCCAGACCGACGAAACCCTCCATTGGCGGTCCAACTCGACCGAGACTCCCATCGACTTCACCAAGAATGACCTATTGCTTGGCTCACAAGACGCTTTCTTCTGGTTCTTAGTCCCGGTATTCGGCCTCATTAGCGTTGGTGTATGTGTCCTTGTTAACTATCTCGCCCTTGCCCTCGTGAACATCTTCTCCTGGGGTTATGGGGTCGTACACAGCAAGTCAGGCTACATCCGGCGAGAGGACCGGGGAAACCTGCCTATCTTCCACACTCCCACTCCTCGACGACGCATCATCCACACCGTCATCCTTTTGATCCTTGTCTCGACCGTCATCCCCTACCAGTTTGCCTATATGGTCGCCTGCATTGTGCAGCTAGCCACATGTGTGCGGGCACAATGGCACGCCAAAGAAACCAGATCCACCTCGCACCTGAACTTCGACAACTATGCACACTCCATCTTAATCTTGATGTTGTGGATTCTGCCAATTAACGTGCTGGTCCTCCTGGTCTGGGCCCACAATCTTGTCGTGCACTGGTTTATGCCGTTCTCATCCCACCACAACGTTTTATCTATTATGCCCTTCCTCCTTCTCGTCGAGACCATGACCAGCGGCGCTATGATACCGCGCATCACGACCAGGTATGTAGACTCTAGAGTGTTACATCTCACAAGTTCCAACTAACATATCCATCTCCGCTATAGGTTCAGACACGTCACCTCAATGATCTTCTTCGCCATCGCTATCTACTCAGCAATCTATGGCGTCTCATATGCGTATCTTCTCCACCACCTCGCCAATCTCCTCGCAGCCTGGCTCGTCGGAATTTACCTGTTTGGCAACAACTTCTCACCGCGCCGTCTGTGGCGTATCATCGATGGTGACGAGCTCCCACCTGAAACGGGGAGCAGCCACGTTAAGAAGAAGCCATGAAAGCTAATCACGTCTGTTGTTCTTGTTCCGCTTGTTTGATTTGCCTTTTGGCACGGAGTTGCGCCGCGCATATGGGTCTGGAGTTACGAGCGTTTTCACCTTTTGTACAGACATCGGGGTTGTCTTTCCCAGCGATTTTACGTATCGATGTCCCCATCTTTTCCTGCCTTTTACCTCACTCCTTCAACCTCTCCACCTCTTTCCACGACACCTAATCCACGAGGCCATGTTTCTCCTAGTGAGAATCACCAGGACCTTGTGATACTACTCGACCCCCGCAACCCCGGACTTCAGATTCCGTTCTCTGGTCTGGCGGCTGCTATGACGACGTCTTGTATATATCCTGGTGTGCTTTTCTTTTCTTTCTGCTTCGTTTTATTGTTCGATCACTGGACATAGATTTGCGGGTTCGAGGATGGACTGATTCTGTTTGACGGTTCTGGGCGTGTTGGCGGTTCTGTGTGTTTTTGTTCTTTTATAGAATTGTGCATTCCCACATACTAATCTGTACCACTTCACATTTTTCTCCGTAGACTTACTGCCATAGACAGGCCATATATTCAAGTGTCTATGCATGCCAACACTCAATAATATTGAAGAATATGTACAACATGTACGCAGCGAAGGGGGCTCTTGGAGTACCTATCCACGTCGTACAAGCCCGGCTAGCCTCTCTAATACACGTTGGCCTAGCTTACCTCTGCCTCATGCAGCATGTCTGTCTCGTCTTCACGTACGACGCTTCGTCGAGGACATCGTAGGACGAAATGGTCGCCGCCTGCGGGAGGATGCGCAGCCGCTGCGAAGACGGGGTCCCCCCCTTTCTTGCGATAATGATCGCCGCCATGGGTGAAGGTGAAGCCCCAGTGTTGCACGCGGAAGCTGAAGCGTTTGCAACCCAGCGGGACTATCGCTTTGTCAAGTTCTCACCCGCAACTGGGCGCGGCATTTGCAATACGGTCAGCTCGCTAGTTGAGCTGGCGCACGGTGCTCGTGATAAGTATTCTATAGATCAGGAGGGTTATACCCAGAGGTACAAGAGGGCGGAGGCATTGCAGACATTATCTCCCACCTAGTTCAGTACCGCCTTCCAGATTGGGTACTACTTAGAATTCGACCATATTTCTGCCATGTATTCTGCCCACTTCTGGTTTACATCGAGAATATGAGGACATGTGGGATTGATGCCGAAAATTGCCGCTTTTGGGGCCAGAAATAGCGTCCTTTGTCACATGGATGGTCTCAGGATACTGATGTGCTACGGACGGTCGCTTTCTGAGGTTAAGAATAATAACAACTAGGATCCAATAGTGGAGAAATTCAGCATCTAAGGGCAGTTTGGCCGAGTGGTCTAAGGCGATTGAGTATGTTAAATCCCACCGCCAAATTAAGCAGCAGTTGCTAACCTTACACAGCTCGGTGAGTTCCACCTCAAACCTCTGACCAAGCAAGGTCTCTTACTAACCCCCAATTTAGAAATCAATTCTCTTCGGAGGCGTGTGTTCGAATCACACAGCTGTCGTTATACATCTTTTTTTTTTGTCCTTGGATAACGTAATTTCTAAGCTAGCCGCCCACCCAAAACACATAGTAAATGCGATATTTTATAACTTCAAATTATAGCAGCCATGTTCTTGTTTACTTCCATAGTCATTTAATAGGTATCAATAAAGCTTCTCAACGCTTTTCCTAGGTATTGATCCCAAGAAAATTGAAAGGCTACATAGTTGTGATGATACGATGCTCAGCTGGAAAGATATATCTCAACCATTAAGACATGCATTTTGTATATATTCTCAATTCGGTTAGTTAGCTTCAGAGTGACGCTAGTCCCAAACTGCAAACTGGTAATGCATGGAAAGAATAACAAATAGCAGCAGGACATGGCGCGCACAAAGAAAACGCCGAGCAACTATAGAACCTGTGACGATCTAAGGATCGTACTTGCCAAACGAGGCAGGAACGACCATGCCCTTGTACCTTCCCAAGTGGACGAACGAGAATTAAGCGAAGACAAACGCAAGGGTATAAGACGGGAAGAACGCGCACTCAGATAGTTTCTCTTTTTTCCTTTCTTCTTCGTACTTAGAATTTGGTTTGAATTGCACTCCTTTCTTCTGAATCGAATTGGCTCGTAACAGAACCGGCCTCTCGAGTCTGCGAGATTGTAGATCCATGCACCCTGGCTGGTCCGTTCTCTGCCGAGTGGCTGGATATTTTGTTGCCAGGGCACTAACTAGGCCGAGGGACAAAAGAATCAAAATGTCCAAGAGCGTTAGTGGTGGGGGATGCCAGCGTACGATACAGTAAATAAGCAAAGATAGTCACGTGGCTTTATGGTTTATTTGAAATCCAATTAATAGGATGGGTCTATACCTGATTTTAACCCCTGAGCCTACCTGACTTCTGCACCCAGCGTATGTATGATCAATTAAATGTGGCCGCATATGATACTAATGGTGATCCGTAAAATCAGACAAAGATCTCTGTTCTACAGAACACACTCCAGTCCATTGGTCTCACTGGCACCATTCAAAAGTTGTGGGGCTATACCGCATCTGATAACCCGATCAACTGCTAGTATTCATGGACTGGCTACGAAGAATATTTACGGGCAAGAGTGCAGACGAGATCGCCGCAAGAAATAGGAGGAAACGTCAAAGCAAAACCCACAGTCAACGAGTACGAGCGCGCGAAAAGGAATTAAGGCTGGCCCAAAATGGCGGTGGTGCGAAAAGCGCACGTCTATTTTGGGGTCCTCAGTGGGAAACATACAGCAATGAAAAACGGGGCAAACGACCTAAAGAGTTACCTACCAGTGGACTTATGAGGACGAGCCACTGATCCACGGATTCTACGGATATCGTTACTTTACAACATCATTGCATTTGCTATGTCCAGGAATATCAAGTCTAACGGGCTCCTTGATTATCTCGAAATACACTCCGTTGTTCAACGTATTGTCTAACGGGCTCCTTGATTATCTCGAAATACACTCCGTTGTTCAACGTATTGGTGCCTCTACAATTATGACAGGGTGTCTTAGGGCTTTAGTTGATTTGGAGGAGTTGTTTTGCGACTTGGATGTCCGGCTGACCATGCCAGACGGGCGTTAAATGCCGCGAAGCTCGTTGCAACATAAATCCGAAGCAACAAGTCACGGCGGGCTCTCAGTCTATAGATGTGGGTCCATTGTCGGATGTGGTAGCGGAGAAGGGCAGGCGGTCGGAGACGGCAGAGGGGCGGTGCAATGGCAGCCGTTTCTGGCTCTCCGCTCACCGTGTCAACTAATACTATAGTATAGTAGGGGGTATGGGTAAAATCAGCCTCTAAGGTCTAATCTAAAAGGACGAAGTCGAGAAGTACTTTAATAACGGGTCATAAATAATGGAAAATAACCTAAAAGGAGAAAAATCCTATTAGTAAGTATAAACTTCTTATAACTAAGTAGTAAGACAACTATACCTTCTGGACTGGTAACCCATTAGTGCTAATCATAAAAGATTCAGACGATTTATCAATAAGTTTCTTATCGCAACAGCCACAACAGGGAGCAGTATCACATAAATCTGGACAGCCAGTCTGTGGGGTAAAATGATTGCCGCAGGTTTAGCAAACTGGGTCACAGCCATGTGATCGAAGCTTGAATTGACGACAATCTGGGCAAAGGATACCCTGGGTAGCATTTAATTGGGCCTTATACTCTTTAAAACGAGGTGGCGGGCGTGCCCGTCTGTAACCTTTACCACGATGAGACATAGATACCTAGCTATCTAGCAAAAGGATGGCAAGTCTGGTCAAGGTCGATGAAGAATTGGTGATGAAGGTGAGGATGAAGGCTTACACAAGCTGATTAAAATTTGCGGCCAGCGGGAGACGTACTCGAAGTAGTTTAGCGGGGAGTGTATCGCAAGTAAAAGAGTGTGTCCGTAGACGTTCTCTTGGCTGAAAGTATCGAGAGCGAGACTAGTTGGACGGAGCGAAGACGGTGCGATAAATGTGGAGTCGATGAAGGTATTTCCCAGCGTGGAGATGACCGACCTCCGATAGGTTACCCCTTTATTTCTGCTTCATCAAAGTGATAGGCCCGTCATCTCAGCCCAGCCCCTAGGACTATATATCAGAGAGAAAGGGAAGGGTCTAAGCGCTACGCCACAAAAAGGGGCTTGGATACATCACCAAGCATGGGTAAAAAGGGGCCGTGAGAGAAAGAGGAAAGAATAAAACGTACAAGAAACAGAAGTAAATAGATCAGAAATGAAAGGATCAGAGCTTCGAATGCAACAAGATCACAATTGCACTACGGAGTACAACCTCCTTACACGGCATCTACCCCGGATTCAATGGTGGATCAGGACTAAATGCATGTCTAGCATAACTGAGCTAACTCGTTATAAAGGGGTTAGACTAAGTAAGATTGAAGATTCGCCTCCGTTCCCCATCAAATAAACATCTGGGGCACCGGGTACAGATGCCATGATGGATCCACTCTCTAAAGATCAAAACGACATGTCTAGATCAGCAGATGACACCTGCCACTAGTTACTCTATTTCTATGATATTGTACAACATAGAACAGCCGTATGTCGAGGCATACGGTGTAGAATGTGATGACCTCGCCTCGACGTAGGCGAAGTGCCAAGTGGCGAGGGAACGCCACGTTCAGACAAAAATGAAACGGAAAAGAAACGAGTGCGAACCTGCGAACTTGGGTCACTGTCAGATGCAACCTTTGTTTTGGTTCAGAAAAAAAAAAGAATTCCTCCCTTGTGATTCGCTCGCGCGGAAATCTCGGATTCCTACGGAGTGACCATGCTATACGAAGTAGCGACTGAATTTTTTTTTCAATAGGCATTGTTGAAAGTAAGGAACCTGTTAGGTTTTCAGGTCCACTGGGTCCGACTGAGCCGATTTCCTTTTTTTGGCTTTTGGCTTGGGTTTGGGTTTGGGTTTCTTTGTTTTGCCACCATAATTCTTTTTCGCGGGGGATAGGATCTCGACGGTTTGTTGTTCTAGTTGCTTACGTCTGATGTTATTATTAGTACGGAGTAGCGCAATGTACAACGTACGAGGGCTTGGAGGGCTTTTTGTATAAAACACGCGATAAGCGATAAGAGAAATCAAGCGGTGAAAGAAATCTCAGACATCCCGTGGTTGATATTCGCGTTTAATTGGACGTTCATATATATTGTACGAATTGTCACTTTCAGGTGGTTATGAAGGCTGTTGGATATTATTTGTACGGGCTTATCCGATGATTATTATTTTTGCTGAAACATACTCAGCTCTGACCTACATGTCAACTACATACGGAGTACGGATATCTAGTCTCGGATATAGTCTCGGATAGGATAGGTACATGTGTAATTCAGTGGTAAGCATCCACAGTTGACACGGAGGTACCAAGCCCGAATCTGGGCGAATACAGGAACAATAAACCCATGAAGTAGAATAACGTTCAACACCCTAGCAACTCCGAAAATATGTAGTGCCTGGGGGAAAACTCGGGGGTCTTCATTTGGCGTTTATATGGCACTGCGCCACTTGTCGTGCGTGGCGAACGACGACTCGCGCGCCTTGCTGGTTACGATGTACTTTGTATATTGTACAACGAGGATAGAAGTGTTGGTACCATAGGGACTAGACTATTTCTGGATATGCACATGAGATATGCGGGACTCGAGGTGAGAGCCAGAGCAGACAGATAGTGTTTCTTCACATCATATCCAGATGCCCGTAACTTCTCCGTATAGGCTCTATACAACATGCAACATAGACATCAATATAATGTTGAAACGAATAAAAAATAAAAGAAAAGCCACCAACTAAACCAAATCCAGCCAGGCAACGGGCTCAACCAATCATGGACAGGCGATTCGGACCAAAGCAGGGCTTCAACCAATGATAGTGCAGCAGCGAATCAGCTAAGCCTAATTCGACCTTAGCGCGGAACATGAGCCTGAAAATTCAGAAAAAATCTGAATTCCATTTTCATAGGGTTTTGCCGCCCAGGTTATGCCACACGATAAATATCCTCACCCCCCTTCCCTTCTCCCCCTCCTCTCCTCCACTCCTGCATCTTTTTTTCGAGGGTCGGCCTCTTTCTTTTTTTTTGTTTTTCTACTCTGCATAGACAGAATAGAAAAAAGTCTCGCTCCAATCTTTGAGCGCCCGCGTCTGAAAAGTTGACGCATTTGAGTCTTTTGCTCAAAAAAAAAAAATTCTACGATACCCCTCATAGAAAAAAAAGAAAGGATTTTTCTTTCTTTACTCTAATACCCTTTTCTCTTCTCCAACCGCCAAAATTTCTTCCAAAATGCCCGCCGCCTCCGACGCTACTCCTGCCGCCACTGGCAAGGCGTCCGCCCAGTCGGTCGCTGTCCTCGAGGACCTCATCAAGAACCTCAACATCTCCACCAGCGCCGACGAAACCAACGCCGCTGCTACTAACCTTGCCACTCTCTTCAGCGGTCCTATCGCCGAGCAGACTCTTCCTCTGAAGGCCACCGAGATCTTCAAGAAGCAGCTCGCCAACAAGAAGGATGCTACTGCCCGTGAGCGTGCCTGCGAGGGTATCCGTGCTATTGCCGCCCACCCCACAATCGCTCCCGGTGTTGAGCCTCACCTCGTGGCTCTCCTCGGCCCTGTCCTCGCCGCTGTTGGTGACAAGGTTGTCGCCGTCAAGCAGGCCGCCCAGTCCACCGCTATCGCCATTGTCCAGGCTGTCAGCGGTAACGCCGTCAAGGCCGTTATCACCCCTATCCTCTACTCCCTCGCCAACGCCCAGAAGTGGCCCGAAAAGATGGCTGCTCTCGACTGCATCAACATCCTCGTTGAGTCTGCCCAGATGCAGCTTGGCTACCAGGTTCCCACTCTGATCCCCGTCATCTCCGAGGCTATGTGGGACACCAAGGCCGAGATCAAGAAGGCTGCCTACTCCACCATGGAGAAGGTTTGCGGTCTGATCGTCAACAAGGATATTGAGCGTTTCATTCCCGAGCTGATCAAGTGTATCGCCAAGCCCGAGAACGTCGCCGAGACCGTTCACTTGCTCGGTGCCACTACTTTCGTCACTGATGTCACTGGCCCTACCCTCGCTATCATGGTCCCCCTGCTTGACCGTGGTCTCGTCGAGCGTGAGACCGCCATCAAGCGTAAGACCGCTGTCATTGTCGACAACATGTGTAAGCTCGTGGAGGACCCCCAGCTTGTCGCTCCCTTCTTGCCTAAGATGTTGCCCGGTTTGAACAAGAACTTCGAGACTCTTGCCGACCCCGAGGCCCGTGAGAAGACTCGCCAGGCTCTTGACACCCTTTCCCGTGTTGGTAACGTTGTGGACGGCAAGATTCCCGAGGTTTCCCGCGCTGGTGACATTTCCACCATCGTTGCCATCCTCAAGGAGATCCTCGAGGCTAAGCACAAGGACGTCATTGCCCATTCCGAGGAGGCCATCACCTACGTTGCTGCCATCGCCGCTCAGCTTGTTGACGAGAAGGAGAACGACCACGTCATCTGGACCCAGAACACCATGCCTTACATCACTGCCATCGTCGGTGAGGAGAATGCTAAGTCCATCGCTGAGGAGCTCCGCAAGAAGGCTTGCCCCGATGCCGCCGCCGCTGATGCCATCGCCTCCGATGAGGAGGAAGGTGTCGATCTTTGCAACTGCACTTTCTCCCTGGCTTACGGTGCCAAGATTCTGCTTAACCAGACTCACCTGCGCCTGAAGCGTGGCCAGCGTTACGGTCTCCTCGGCCCCAACGGTTCCGGAAAGACCACCCTCATGCGTGCCATCAACAACGAGCAGCTCGAGGGTTTCCCCAAGAAGGATGAGGTCAAGACCGTCTACGTCGAGCACGATCTCGACTCTGCCGATACTGAGCAGACCGTCATTGCCTGGACCCAGAAGAAGCTTGCTGAGGTTGGACAGAACCCTCCCCGTGAGGAGCTCGAGGGCAAGCTGCTCAACGAATTCGGTTTCTCCGAGTTCCAGATTCAGGGTCCCATTACTGCCCTCTCTGGTGGTTGGAAGATGAAGCTCGCTCTCTGCCGTGCTGTCTTCGAGAACCCCGATATTCTCTTGCTTGACGAGCCTACCAACCACTTGGACGTCAAGAACGTCGCATGGCTCGAGGAGTACCTGAAGAACTCCCCCTGCACTTCTATCATGGTTTCTCACGACTCCAAGTTCCTCGACAACGTCATCCAGCACGTCGTTCACTACGAGCGCTTCAAGCTCCGCCGTTACCGTGGTACCCTCTCCGAGTTCGTCAAGCAGCACCCCGCTGCTCGGTCCTACTACGAGCTCGGTGCCTCCGAGATGGAGTTCAAGTTCCCCGAGCCCGGTTTCCTTGAGGGTGTTAAGACCAAGTCCAAGGCCATTTGCCGTGTTAGCAACATGTCCTTCCAGTACCCCGGTACCCCCAAGCCCCAGATTCACGGAATTACCTTCCAGGTCTCCCTTGGATCCCGTATTGCCGTCATCGGTGCCAACGGTGCTGGCAAGTCTACTCTCGTTAACGTCCTGACTGGTGAACTCATTCCCACCTCCGGTGAGGTCTACCAGCACGAGAACATCCGTATTGCCTACATTAAGCAGCACGCTTTCGCTCACATCGATAACCACCTCAACTCCACTCCTTCCGAGTACATCCAGTGGCGTTTCCAGACCGGTGAGGACCGCGAGACCATGGACCGTGCCAACAAGATCGTCACCGAGGAGGATGAGAAGGCCATGGACAAGATCTACAAGATTGAAGGCACCCTCCGCCGTGTCATCGGTATCCACTCTCGTCGCAAGTTCAAGAACACCTACGAGTACGAGATCTCTTGGTCTCTGGGTGACAACGTCGGCATGAAGTCCGAGAAGTGGACTCCTCTCATGTCCGCTGACAACACCTGGTTGCCTCGCTCCGAGATTATTGTCTCTCACCCCAAGCAGGTCGCTGAGGTTGATCAGAAGGAGGCCCTCGCCTCCGGTCAGTTCCGTCCCCTTGTCCGCAAGGAGATCGAGCAGCACTGCGCCAACTTTGGTCTCGATGCCGAGCTTGTTTCTCACTCTCGCATGCGCGGTCTCTCCGGTGGCCAGCGTGTTAAGGTCGTTCTCGCCGCTTGCTCGTGGCAGCGTCCTCACCTTATCGTCCTTGACGAGCCCACTAACTACCTCGACCGTGACTCCCTCGGTGCCCTCTCCAAGGCTATCAAGTCTTTCGAGGGTGGTGTTGTTATCATTACTCACTCCCGTGAGTTCACTGAGCACCTGACTGAGGAAGTCTGGGCCGTCAACGACGGTGTCATGACCCCCTCCGGACACAATTGGGTCCAGGGTCAGGGCTCTGGCCCCCGTCTCGACGCCAAGGGTGACGATGATGAGGACAAGTTCGATGCCATGGGCAACAAGATCGTTGTTACAAAGAAGGTCAAGCTTACTGGTAAGTTATCCAATCATTACTTCCTTATGCATCACAATGTTCAAATTCTAATTGTTCTCTTACAGGCTCTGAGCTTCGCAAGAAGAAGAAGGATCGTGCTGCCCGCCGCAAGCGTGGTGAGGAGGTGTTCTCCGATGAGGATGACCTTTGAACGCCCACTTGGGGCGTTTATTGATGCACATTATGATCGTTTGATGAATTTCATATGCTTTGCTAGGACAAAATTCAATTCAATTCTCTGTTCAAACATTCGTTATTATCTCAAGACTGCTGTAGACCTGTAAACCTATATGTGCTGGTCCAAGTAACTACAAGTTCCTGACTCCATCAAGAGCCATACCCGAAAGACCGTCTGAATCGGAATCATCTTCGTAAAGTTTATATTTTCAATTATGTAGTATGCACCGGCTCCTCGGTCTGTCTCGGCATACCGCCCAGCTTGGGCCGAAATATATCCCGAGACAAGTGTAAAATATATAAGTGATAGAGCTCACGGATATACTAATCTCAACTTCGAATAATGCCACGGGTGCTGCTCTGGGACTTTGTACAGTTGGAGCTCTTCGGCACATAGTCACGTAACTCTCGGGCATTGTGCGACTGTTTAGAAAAATTTCGCTTGTTAAACGTGTTCGTTGATCCAATGGTTTACAAGGCACCACATGTTATTCCAATCAAGCATCGACTGGCCCGACCTTCACATCAACTCTTCTTTGCAGCTCAGCCATATCATCTACTTGCCGCAGCTTTTTCCGCTTCTGAACCTCCAAGTCCTTGAAGCGTTTCTTGCCCCCATGCTTCAGCTTTGTAATCATATCAGCGGCTTGGCCGCGAGTCAAGTCCTCGGGCTTCACATTGCCATCTCGAATGCGAGCTGCGTTCAGCATCTTTAGTTGTCCCGGTGTTGCCTGGGCCCGTCGCCAAGGTTTCCAAGATGCGATGTAATGCTCATCAAACTTGGTACTGGCAAAGGTATCCGCTGCCCGGACAATGCTTTCTAAGTCAGAGCCAGTGGCGATCTTCCGAGGACGTGTGAATTGCGGTGCGTCCGTTGCCGGGTTTTTGAATTTCATGACATGATGAGCCGTGAACATATCGTCGTCCCCTTTCTCAATCGTTACCCAGCCAGATATATCGGTAAGCATATATCGGTCATCGCCGACCCGGACCCAGTTGTGCGGGCTGAACGACCTGATGTGTCGTTCGGACTGCATGTCTCCTAGGAGATCGTATATACTGTCATAAGTCGTGAACTGAAGTTTTAGGTCATTGTCCGAGCCGTCATATGGTTCCTCGGCCTCAGGGGTGGGTTCCGATTGAGTGCCCTTATCATCATTCTTCTTCATGTCTTCCATGCTGGCGTTGTCCAAGACTTCGTCTGGGTCCAAGCCGAACAACGTCGGTGTTGATAGCACTCCAGTTGCTAGTGAAGCTACCATGTCGATAACATGGCAGTCCTTTTTTCCGGGAAACAGCCGAAGACCACGTCCGATCATTTGGACGAGCAGGTTTCGAGACCTGGTGGGTCGAGCTAGGAGCACGCAGTCGATATTTGGGATATCCGTGCCTTCTGTGAAAAGACCACAGTTAAGCAACACTGGAAACTCTTGGTCCTTAAAAGCCTGTAGCTGTTTCGCACGGACGACTTTAGATGTACTAGCTGTGATATACCTAGCATCGACGCCATGGTCGCGAAAAGCGGCGGTAAGCTGCCGCGCGTGCTCGACATCGACACAAAATACAAGAGTGGACTTCCGATTCTCAGCACTCGCCATCCATGCCCGAACTGTGATGTTGTTCGTAGACGTAGTGTTAACCGCCTCCGAAAGCGATCCGAGGGCAAAGTCTCCGAAACTATCTTTCTTGACTTTGGACAAATTGGCCCCGGACTTGACAGTTGTGAAGACTGCATTGGCCAGCCAATTTTCACCAATCATGTCAATGTAGTCCTTGTGATAGACAATATGATCAATGGCAGCACCCAGTTTGAGCCCATCGAACCGTGAGAAAGTGGCGGAAACACCCACCAAGACCGGTCCATTGGCAGATGGCTCGTTCAACCCAAAATGCCCCAGGGCGTCGCGGTATGTTTTGGCAACAATATGATGAGCTTCATCCACCAACACGAGTTTGAATGCACTCGGGTCGAACTTGTACATGCGTCCCCGGGCTAGCGTTTGAACCGACGCGATGATGATGTCTCCTGCTCCCGTCGCAACATTCTTGCCCATTTCTATTTCGACGGTCTTGTCTGGATAGGCGACTCTGCAGTGTTTCGCAGCTTGTTCGACGAGTTCGCGGCGATGAACGATGATCATGGTCTTGGTGGCTTTCGCATCGCGAGGAGGGATTCGGCTGATAAGCTGTGTGAATATGACCTGCAAAGATCAGTACCATTTTGGATAGAGAGCGAGTCTAACCTACTGTTTTACCAGCTCCTGTGGCAAGCGAAATCCCCAGACGTCGATGGCCTTCACCCAAATATTTCAGGACGGACTGAATGCTTTCCTCTTGGTAGTCCCGGAGCACAATGCTTGGAGGAACTGAAGACTCGGTCGAATTGAAGCGTACATGGCGCAAATAATTTTGTAACAGAGGACTCTTCACCAAGTATCTTCTTGGATGTCTCAATCGCGAGACACAGCGTATGAACTCCATGCAGATGTTGCAAATGCCCTTTTGTTCTCCGGCGAAGCTCAAACACAAGAACAAACAGTGCAAACAATCTTATCGATAACGTTGCATAAAACAATCTTGGCAACGGTTAAATACATTCAGAATGTCATGTGACGGTCGGTACGGGGCATACCATACAAAAGTGTGCATACCACCCCTGACTATGAATGATAGCCTGTACACGAGGCATTGTCTTAGAGATGCTTTAGGTGCTCTAGATCAATCATTTCCCATACTTGCTGCGTATTTTGTACGCGGTGTAGACTGTATAGGAAGGCGGTATATGGGTGGGGGTGTTAAAAACTTATGAACAGTCACTGTATATTACAATTTGTCATCATGTCCATTCAAATTTGTTAGTTACCATACATTGTAATTCTCAACTTTTTTTTCAGTTGTTTCTATAGCTCTTCGATGAATTGACGTGGCAGATTTCGTTAAGGGCGTAGCTGTGATGTTTTGCTACCGATCGTTCCGCATGCGCTGCAAATCTGCGAGCCTGAACGATGAGCGACTCTGCTTCCGCCTATGAGCCCGACGACGACGCCGAGTCCGAGTCCGACTTCGAGCCTGAGTCTGACTTCGAACAACCAGAGCCTCAGTCCGACTTTGAGCAACACTGCTCGTCCAATGAACGCTCTTCAACTCCAAATCAAATACCGAACGGATATGATTACAACCGCGACCCGTCATTCGATGGGGTCAGACGACAAATTGGCGATGCGCTTATGGCACGCGTCCCGCAGATGCGTGGACCTCTCACATTTCTCCGAGCCTACTCCCACCTTATCGTGCAAAACGATGAGGTCATTGATTATGCCTCGTTGAAGGAACTCGAGAGCACATACCAAGCCAGTCAACATGGCTCGATGGTCTGGACGCCCACGGAGAAGGAAGTGTTCTTCAATGCATTGGACCGAAAGGGCAAAGGCAGCATCAAAGAGATTGCTACTGCAATCGGCACCAAGTCGGAACTCGAGGTTATGGAATACATCCGACTTTTGCATAAGGCCTTGGAGGCCCAGTATAGTTCCGACGTGCACCTGGAAGTTATGCCTGTCTTGAGCGATATCCCAGCGGCCACAGAGGTCAGCCCGGAATGCTGCGAACTACTAGAGGAATATGCGGATGTTCTATCATTGAAAGAGTCCCTTCTTGAAGCTCAAGCGGGAACAAACCAACACGGAGATAACTGGATTATCACTGGAGCTCATGCAGAGGGTCTGGCAGACGAAAAGGACGACAGTGCTCGAGGTGACCTCCGCCTCGCAGCTGATTTGCTGAACCTTCCATATTGGATTCGCCTTTCTTCCGCCTTGTTCATGAACTTTGGTGGAAAGCAAGCTGAGAACAACTGGTGGAACCTTGCCAACAGAAAAGACCTAATCACATCGTATGGACATACCCCTTCTATGACTGCAGATACTGCCGTGGACTTCTACTCCCTCACTGTCAGTGTCACGCGCCGCTTGGTCCAATCATCACTCTTCTTTGCAATGTCAAGATTGCGCAGTTCAAGTCGCAGTGGGAATGATAGAAAGGGGTATGTTCGAACGCAAGATGTCCGGGCCGCCATCGATGTGCTCCATATGAAGCAATGCAGGCCTAAATTCGTGGAAATCGCTCGTCGCAATGAAACTGTCCTAGAAGACATCAACAACCGGAAAGGCTGGGTGCCTACGGTATTCACCTACGAAGAAGCCGAGGAGATCATCGAAACACACGAGTGGACCCGGTACCGTAAAGATGGAACCATGTATAATGATGACAACGAAGAGGACAGCGAAGACGACGGCATCATGGACGATGACATTGAAATGGACGACGATGTCGGAATGGATGATGAGACCGAAATGGCAGTCAACCCGCAAGAAGCAGAACCTGAGGCAACACCAGAACCAGAAACAGGAGAATCTGAACTTGAATACGAACCAGATTCGGAACTAGATTCAGAGCTAGACGACCTTGATAACTACCCTTTGCCTACGCACGAGTCCTCCGAAACACCAGCGCCGGTTGTATTGCCAGACGAACTGGAAATAGACCCAGAAGAAGAGCAAGCAGAACTCACAGACCAGAACATCAGCCATCGCGAAGAGGCCAATCTTCTGAAGTTGATGGAACAACCCGTGCCGTTCAACCTCGACGAACCTATGAAGGAAGAAGAAGTCGAGGAAGACACTAAGCTACTGCCAGAACGCAGAATCCGAGAAGATGTCTTTAATTGGCGGGATCGGACCGTCTACCGTAGCGAGTGGGAGGAGTACGGGTACGATTTCGCCGATCTGAAGGAAGACATGGACATGCCTCCGCTGAAAAGGCCCAGATACAACGAACCGGCAGTTGCTATCTCCGCTCCGGTTCTTTCTGGCGACGATGCAGTAGTTGAGAGTGGGGACGATGAGGATGAGTCGGAGCAAGGAGAAGACCCGGCCAACCGCTAGAGTCCTGGTTGCAATATTAGAAGACAAAGTTCGGTCAACTAGGCCACTCAATAGGCGATGAGAGGTATTACACTCTACTTTGAGCAAGATTACAAGCTTCCCATCAAGGACGTATGATTAAAGAGTAAACACATTGATGAAAAAAGATCCCCAACCCCTAATTCAACCCCCTAAGAACAATCCACTTTCTGGAGAGAGGGAGAATCAACAGAAAAGAACTCCAGCAGATAACAAAAAAAAAAAAAAAAAAAAAAAAGTGCGCCTTTTACAAGCCAGAAAGTTAAAAATATTAAAAAAAAAACCAAACAAAAAAAAAGTAC